CTAGTTTTTAAAAGTAAAAAAGTTATAAAAAGTAAAAAAATACATTTTAAAAACGCTCATTACCACTACACCTGGAGCAAACTAGAGAAAAAATTATCCCACGCCAAGGTTCAAAATATGCCTTTTGAATTACCCCAGGGTGTATTCTTTAATAAATAGTATGTGTTTGTGGGGAAGTTTCAATAACCAACCGTCTAAACTACTCCAAATTGGAACATGGACACAGCGTAAAACTTCAAAGTTAGAAAAAAACTGAATGGCTGCGTCTCAAATGCGCCCCTTCAACATCCACATATACCTGGCAAAGGTACATACGGGGTATTGCTGTACTCAGCCGACATAGCTGAGCAACATATGAAGTATTATACAGTCGTAGCACACATAAGGTTTGCAAAATATACTGTGCAAACTCACTTTGTATGTCAAAAAGGCAGAAAAAACGCTTATTACCACTACATCTGGTACAAGCTAGCGGAAAAATGATCCCACGCTAAGGTTCAAACTATACCTTTTGAAACACCCTGGGGTGTCTACTTTAAGAAATGGTAGGCCTTTGTGGGGTAGTTTGAATTTAAAACCTGCGAAGATGCTTGGAAATTGCACATAGGCCCAGCGTCAAAATTCAAAGTTTGGTAAAAACGGATATGGCTTGGTCTCCTATATGGCACTGTAGCTTCACAAAATAGTGCCAAAGACATTCATTGAGGGTGTATTTTTACTCAAAAGACTTAGCTGAGCATAATTTGGGAGGTTTGAACTTAGTGGCACATATGAAATATACAAAACGCCCAGCAAAAATGCAATCCGTATGTAAAAAATGCACAAAATAATTTTTTTACCACATACTTTGGCATATATTGGTGAAAAAATCGGGGTATGTTAAGGCACAATATGCACCTTATGAGATACCCTGGAGTGTCTACTTTTACAAATGGTAGGCCTTTGTGGGGTTTTTTTGAACAGTCAAACTGTTATAATACCCCAAATGGAAGCTAAGGCTCATTAAATCCATCTCTGAAAATTCTACTGTGAATACTGTAAAGGACAGGTCTCCTATATGGCACTGTAGCTTCACGAAATAGTGCCAAAGACATTCATATGGGGTGTCATTTTACTCAGAAGACTTAGCTGAGCATAATTTGGGGGGTTTGAACTTAGTGGCACATATGAAATATACAAAACGCCCAGCAAAAATGCAATCCGTATGTAAAAAATGCACAAAATTATTTTTTACCACATATTTTGGCATATATTGGTGAAAAAATGGGGGCATGTTAAGGCACAATATGCACCTTATAAGATACCCTGGAGTGTCTACTTTTACAAATGGTAGGCCTTTGTGGGGGTTTTTTGAACAGTCAAACTGTTATAATACCCCAAATGGAAGCTAAGGCTCATTAAATCCATCTCTCAAAATTCTACTGTGAATACTGTAAAGGACAGGTCTCCTATATGGCACTGTAGCTTCACGAAATAGTGCCAAAGACATTCATATGGGGTGTCATTTTACTCAGAAGACTTAGCTGAGCATAATTTGGGGGGTTTGAACTTAGTGGCACATATGAAATATACAAAACGCCCAGCAAAAATGCAATCCGTATGTAAAAAATGCACAAAATTATTTTTTACCACATACTTTGGCATATATTGGTGAAAAAATGGGGGCATGTTAAGGCACAATATGCACCTTATAAGATACCCTGGAGTGTCTACTTTTACAAATGGTAGGCCTTTGTGGGGGTTTTTTGAACAGTCAAACTGTTATAATACCCCAAAATGGAAGCTAAGGCTCATTAAATCCATCTCTCAAAATTCTACTGTGAATACTGAAAAGGACAGGTATCCTGTATGGCACTGTAACTTCACGAAATAGTGCAAAAGACATACAATGGGGGTGTCATTTTACTCAGCAGATGTAACTGAACACAAAATAAAACTTTGTACAGGAATAGCACACACCAACTTTACAAAATATACACGAGAATTTCTCTGTTATAAGTTTGTGTGCCAAAAACCAAAAAGAACACAATTTTACTCCAATATTTAGCAGAGGTTGGCGGTGAAATGGCTACGTAGAAAGTGTCAAAACAACCTTAGGTAAATAGCCCGTGATGTCTACTTTATATAAATATATACTTTTGTGTGGCAATTTTGTTTTCTTTTATGGCTATTAAGCTTACAAGACAAACATACCAAATTCTAAAATCGCTCCACATTAAAAGTTTATTTTACTCCTTGTGCTTTGTGACCTGTAACTACCAAAAAAAACTTAAAATCCCAGACACATTATATATTCTGTAAATCAGAACAAATAAATAAATTTATTTTTAATTACTTTCCTTAACCTGCACTAATTATGCACACATTATTATTGCAAAAACTGTAAAAAAAAACAATATTTTTCATTTTTTTTGCATTTTTCTGTATTTTTTTATAATAAGTAAGCATTTATATATATATATATATGTTATATCAAATTAAAGCCCTTTCTGTCCTTTAAAAAACAGTATATAATATGTGTCGGTGCAATAAATGAGAGAGATGCAAATTGCAGTTGAACGCAAACAGCAAGAAAATGCAAAAATTGCTTGTGTCATTAAGCGTAAGTCAAGCTTCTGAAGCTGTGTCCTTAAGGGGTTAAACTTTCACCCAATCTCCACTCCTTCAAAATATTTTTAAAAACATACTTCTTTGGGAAAGCATATCAATTAAACTGTGAATAACTTTCCCTCTCCGTACCCTGATTCCTCTCCTGAAACTGTTATCAAAACAAAACACTAAGCTGTAACGGATCGCCTGGCACCCCGACTGGGTACCTCCGTTGAAAGATGCTCCTAGCGCTTCCTGAGGACTCCAAGCACTGCAGCAGACGCCACAATCACCGAACCAGAGAAGCGTATACCTTCTCTCAAGCATATGAATGCTGTAGACAGTTGAATAGGAACCATACGAATAGGTTTACTCTCCTAGCAGTCAAACTGGAACAGCATACAATAAATCCTTCCCCCAATAATGAGACGACACTTCACTTTGAGGGTTAAAACAGGAACTCCCTGTACTGTCACATACAGTCTCTTTTATTCCCAATCCACAAACATAGTACAGCCCACAGGGCGTTACAAAACAACCAATCAATCCGTACAATACACCCAGACACTCCCACACAAAATCCTCCCCTCTGCATGTGATATGATTACTGAACACAATGGGTAATCTCATTATCACCGGCAGAGGAATACAGTTTTTACACAATATTTATAACTTCTAAAATATACATGTCACAAACATAAAACATACATTTTCATAATCAATCCATTCAGGGCAACAACATATTAAAAAATGGCACGAATCAGACCAGGGGTTCAAAAGTTAAGGGAAAGTCCTTTGTGACTAAATGAAGCATGGCTTTCTGGCCCAAACCAGTTTCAGAGTCTTCTATCCTTGAGAGTAATTCAATTATCTCCCAGGACAGACACAAGACTCCATTAAGCACATGGTTGCAAAAAGACACAAAACACTTTAAAATACATAAAGTAACCTTTTCACATAACACACAGACATTTCACATATCCCCAGATAGCTGCGATCTGAGCGCACAAAACTACTGAAGAGCGCTCAGATCCTATTCACACAGTTCAATTGCTATGGAGCCGAAGTCTTTAACTACACAAATGGGCTCCATGGCATAGCTATCTGGGTTAACACATTCTCATAAAGTCTGGTCCATAGTCCAAAGGCAAGAGGCGGGCAAGCAGCCCCCTCCAAGGACACGTGGCGAGGCCGGTTTCGCCACATTTCTCCCCTTTACCATCCAGACTAACAGGGTATCTGACCTCCTGCCGGTCAGTGCCCTGGTTAGTCCAGCAACCCACCCACGAAGCACAAACAGCAATACAGCCCACCCACAATAACTGGTTACTACACCTGGATAAAATAGCAACTTGTCCATGTCCAGGTGCCTCACCACGGCTGTGCGGGGGGCTGGTAGACTGCCTTGGTGGGTTGCTGAGTGGGCAGAGACCAGCGGTACTCTGCCCGGGTGCCAGCGCTACCACTGAAGTAGCCTGGTTGGAGCCTGGTTGTGGGAGGGGGAGACCGACTGTCTCCCCTCTGGATACACTGCTCTGTGGCTGGGGGACAGGACCGACCGTCCCTACCCCTGGTGCTGCAAGTGCAGAGACTACGGTCCCATCTGCATAGTTGTGGGGCTTAACATCTCCCCTTGGTGGGTTAGGCTGCCGCTGGAGAGAGGGTGTAACAAGCTCCTCTCTCTGAACTGTAGACTGCCGCTGGGGAGAGGGGGTAACCTGCTCCTCTCCCTGACACTCTCTTTGCTGGTGGAGAGGGGGACCAACTGTCTCCCCTTTCAATATTTTGTCCTGCGGCTGGGGTGAAAGACAGACTGTCTCCGCTTCCTGCAGGACACACTGCCGCTGGGGAGGAAGGACTGCACCTTCCATTCCCTGGGAAAAAGACTGCCGCTGGGGAGGAAGGACCGCACCTTCAGCTCCCTCGGACTCACACTGCCGCTGGGGAGGAAGGACAGCACCTTTGGCTCCCTGGAACTCACACTGTTGCTGGAGATCTGGGCCGACTGCCCAGCATCCCTGTAGGGCCGGTAGAGAGACCGCCGTCCCATCTCCACCTGCCATCTGTGGGTCCTCCCAGGACCAGTCTGTGAGGTCCCTCAACATTTGCGAGTAAGGACCACCTGCTTCCGCACCTGGCACCTCCGGCTGCTGCTGGGGATCTGGGCCGGTCCCATCTCCACCTGCCTGTTGTGGTTCCTCACAGACCAGTCTATGAGGACCCCTACTTCGGGTTCCTGCGGCCGCCTCAGGGGGAGACGGCTAGCCTCCTCGGATGCAGCCTCTACTCGGCTGCTGTAGCACTCCTTCCGCTGAGCGTACTCTCTCGCTTTCGCCAGCCGGAATTCTCGGGCCAGCCTTGTGTTTCGCTCGGCCGTGACCTGGTTCCAGATCACCCGGCGTACCTCCATGGGTAAATCATCCCCATACTGGGCCACTCGCTGCCTCACCTCGGCCATCCAATCATTGCCAGAGCCTTCCATACTTGTCTGCTCCAAGTCGCTGGATACCTCTGCCCCAGGGGCGCTGCACGTGTGCTAGCGTTGCCCTCAATTTGTAACTCCACGAATGGTGTCTCTGAGCTGCTTTACCTCGCACTAGGACGCCATCCCACCGCTTGCCACCAATGTAACGGATCGCCTGGCACCCCGACTGGGTACCTCCGTTAAAGGATGCTCCTAGCGCTTCCTGAGGACTCCAAGCACTGCAGCAGACACCACAATCACCGAACCAGAGAAGCGTATACCTTCTCTCAAGCATATGAATGCTGTAGACAGTTGAATAGGAACCATACGAATAGGTTTACTCTCCTAGCAGTCAAACTGGAACAGCATGCAATAAATCCTTCCCCCAATAATGAGACGACACTTCACTTTGAGGGTTAAAACAGGAACTCCCTGTACTGTCACATACAGTCTCTTTTATTCCCATTCCACAAACATAGTACAGCCCACAGGGCGTTACAAAACAACCAATCAATCCGTACAATACACCCAGACACTCCCACACAAAATCCTCCCCTCTGCAGGTGATATGATTACTGAACACAATGGGTAATCTCATTATCACCGGCAGAGGAATACAGTTTTTACACAATATTTATAACTTCTAAAATATACATGTCACAAACATAAAACATACATTTTCATAATCAATCCATTCAGGGCAACAACATATTAAAAAATGGCACGAATCAGACCAGGGGTTCAAAAGTTAAGGGAAAGTCCTTTGTGACTAAATGAAGCATGGCTTTCTGGCCCAAACCAGTTTCAGAGTCTTCTATCCTGGAGAGTAATTCAATTATCTCCCAGGACAGACACAAGACTCCATTAAGCACATGGTTGCAAAAAGACACAAAACACTTTAAAATACATAAAGTAACCTTTTCACATAACACACAGACATTTCACATATCCCCAGATAGCTGGGATCTGAGCGCACAAAACTACTGAAGAGCGCTCAGATCCTATTCACACAGTTCAATTGCTATGGAGCCGAAGTCTTTAACTACACAAATGGGCTCCATGGCATAGCTATCTGGGTTAACACATTCTCATAAAGTCTGGTCCATAGTCCAAAGGCAAGAGGCGGGCAAGCAGCCCCCTCCAAGGACACGTGGCGAGGCCGGTTTCGCCACATAAGCCTTCAATGAATACTATCCTAGCAACCTACTTTTCTACCCTACCCTTAACCCTTAACCTTTGTGTCACCATACTCCACTCCCTCTAGCATATAATCTCATTAAGCTGGGCCCTAAATCCCTCTGTTCCTGTGCGTCCAACTTGTCTGGTTACCACCCATTGTACAGCGCTACGGAACTTGTTGGCGCTTTATAAATACTACTATTAATAATAATAATCTATCATGTTTTAATTAAGTGTTATGTTATATGTTAGTCAGTGGAATTAACTTGATAGTGAAGGGATTAAATCACATGCAAAGCCTGTGTAACAAAACAGTCTTGTTCAGGGACTGACTTGAATTTTTGGCCCATAGGGCAAGTACAACCCATAGGTCCATGGTGCAATAACTTAGCTCCCCACTGAAATAAAAACAGAAAAAAACGTGGAAATTAAATTAAATAAGAAATAACATTTTAATTAATCTTAACACTGAAAAATAGTGCTTCTTGTCATGCCCAGCAATCATAATTCATTGTCGCACTTTACAAATATTACTATTAAATGGGTTGTGTGTAATGGATACATGTATTGGTCACATAGTAGAGGTAATATGGTGTAAAGGGACACTATATTCTCCAAAACAACTCTAGCTTAATGAAGCAGTTTTGATGTATAGATCATGCCCCTGCAGTCTCACTGCTCAATTCTCTGGAATTTAGGAGTTAAATTATTTTTTTCGTGCACCCTAGTCACACATCCCTGCATGTGACTTGCACAGCCTTCCTAACACTTTCTGTAAAGAGGCATCTAATGTTTACACTTCCTCTATTGTAAATTCTGTTTAATTTACAATTTCTTATCCCTGAACTGTTAATAGCTTGCTAGACCATGCAGGAGCCTCCTCTATGTGATTAAAGTTCAATTTAGAGAGAAGGAGACAAAAACTTTTAAAGTAAGTTACATCTAATTGAAAGTGAAACCATTTTGTGTCAGTCACAGCCAGGAGAGGTGTGGCTAGGACTGCATAAACAGAAATGAAACTGATTTCACTTCTAAATGGCAATGAATTGACCAATGACGTTTCAAAGGCATGATCTATATACAAAAACTTAATTGAGCTAAAGTTGTTTTGTGACTATAGTGTCCCTTTAATTTGGTTGTGTTAGCAGCTTACTTGATATTTATGTGTTATTGTTATATATCACAATTTGCATTGCACTGTTTTATTGTATTTCAAGCACAAAATATGTTTGTTTTTAAATTCCAAAATGTTATTGTAGAACGTAAAAACATAATGGAAGTGTAATTGTGCATGATTTCCACCTGTGATTTTCCTATATTCCAATGCAATGCTTAGTTTTTACAGAAACATGGTTGATAAGTAAATAGTTTGTCCAGTACTCCCCCGTGAATTATTTCAGTGACCAATTCAGGTAATTTATTTAATAGAGAACCAAGAGCGAAATATAATGTTGAGCAGGTATGCAATATAAAAGTAGTTCTATAATGAAAGTTATTGAATACACACAGGGTTATTTACTAAACTGGGAATTGGCATTGTTTCAATGTTAAAAAAATAACCATTTAAATTTTAGACCAAAACACATGAACAAAAGCATAGTTGAATTGAAAATTATTTTCCATGCCAAAATTTTAGCCTTAAATTGGAAACATTCTTTGAATTCACCTTGAATTCCTAACAATTATTACTTTAGTAAATAATCCTAACAGAATTAAAGTGTACAACGCAATGTTTCACTGATCATACATGAGGCACAACTTTTAGCAGAATGTCATCAAACAAGGGCTCAGCATTCTTGAATAATTACAATGTTTTTTGTAATGTTCCATATTTACACCTTGATTTATTAGAGGCTGGCATGAAATTTCTTGCGTCAGATAAAAGGTTACACCAAAGTGGCATTTACTAGTGCCCACATCTGAAAAGTTATGCTGATGTAGAAGAGCTGAAAACATCCCATAGAGATAACTTCCATAAATAAACATTTCATTTATTTATTAGCTAGACTAGGCAATTTGCACAGAAATTGGTTTAATTAATATCAGATATACTAAACCTGGCCTATGCAGACATAAGTCTGACCAATCTTTATATCTGTTGTTATTTTTACTGGCAATTTCACAGGGAGTTACCAGTAGTTGCTACAAAAAAAAAGTTATTTCCATAGAGAATAAGAACATTTATTCTCTATGGAAAGAACTTAGCAACTGGTTTCAACTCTGTCATTACTTTTACTGGCTGCTGGTAAGCATCCAAATTGACAAACTGATAAGGTGCATGGAATTGTGCAGCTGGTAAAGTAGCGATGACGGATTGTTGGAATCTCTTTGATGAACATTGGTCTGGGATATATATATATATATATATATATATGTATATATATGTTGTGGGAGGGGTTATCTGGCATATATTCGCCTGGATACCCTACCCTTACCTGCCGTTGCCCTAGCAAAGTTTGTCTTCTACTTCTGATTCAACACTGCAGGAGTCAGCCAATGGCATGTTCCCTCTATTCAGGGACAATTTACCCACAAATCCCTGCCAGTTCTTATCAATATGAAACATCAAAATACATTCAGGTGACAATTCTGAAAGCTACTTACTTTTTTAAGAATACCCTCCACCTGTGTCCAAAATAATTGTATGGCAGGACATGTCCACCATATATGGTATAAACTACCATCCTCTTCCAAACATCGTCAACACTTATTGATCAAAGATGGATAGAAACTATGCATATCAGCTGGGACTCTAAACCATCTAGAGATGATTTTATACCCAAGTTCCTGAAATCTGCAAGCAATAGAACAATTTTTATTTATTTTAAGAATTGCACACCATTCTAAGTTCGTAAAATTACACCTCAAATGCTTCTCCAAAAAGTCTAGGGAAATACGGATGTTAATGGGACATTCAAAATGTTATAGATTTTAAAATCACACATTTCTGATCACACAGCGCTTCAAAAGGGGTTAAAACATAAGGTTACAGGCTACAAGCGGGAAAAAACAAATCACTACCTCTATCTTGAAGGGGCTCCTGGCAGAACTACAAGGCACATTGCAAGCCGACATAGCTACAATTAATGGTGGTCTGCAGGGCCTGACAGGCCGCATTGACACACTGGAGGAAGCATCTCACAAGGGCTCCCAGCAAATGGAGAAGCTGGAACGGCCAGTACAAGAATTGCAGAGACAGAATCTAGTGCATGAACACCGCTTTGCAGCACAGGAAGACCGCCAAAGACAGAACAATTTGAAAATCAGGGGGATCCCAGAGGAGGTTTCCAAGGCATAAACTTTCAGAGCAGCACAGACAAAGCGGCCATCCTGACATCAATCAGAGGGAAACCCCTTTTCCAATTTGAGAACATGTCACTTGGGTTCTATGCAGACCTATCTAGCAGCACACTGGCCTGGCGATGGTCATTTAAACGCCTCACCATGCTCCTACAACAACGCAAGATTCGATACCACTGGTGCATGCCCCGCACACTCCTAGTGCAACATGGGGACACTGAGTACCCACTTCAGGATCTACAGAGTGCAACAACGCTACTACGAGACCTGGGTCTCCCACAAGACTGTCTAATGCATGCTGAATCCAATGCCCCCACATTCCTGGCACCCAACCAGAATTACTCCATTTATCCCTCATCATCCCTCCGCAGAAGTATATGTGGCAGCAACTACTTGAGCCCCGACACTTCCTAGCCTGCGCCGAGGACCACAAGCACTGCACCGGACACCACAACCACCGCAGACTCCACAACCGCCGTAGCTTAACTGGAGTCCCGCCGTCTTCTGTCCACCCTGGATCAGCTTCTGTCCTCCAGGACCGTGTGGGGAAGACCTCTCCTCCAGGAGAGTGTATCAGGAACAAACTCTTAAAAGAGCTAAGTGATTCAAGCTCAGGGGAGTATGCAGAGCATAGCAATCCCCAATGTGAGTATAGCTGTCCCATCCAATCACGAGACAAGACTATGTGTTGAGGGTCAAGCAGAACTGACTCCACTGAGCGTTTATTGCTGCTTTTATGCAGGATTTTA